GCGGAAAGGGTGCTTCCCGCAGACCATCTGGTAGAGCAGGATGCCCAGGGACCAGATGGTCGCCTCCTCGCCGTGGTAGCGTTTGAGGTAGATCCACTCTGGCGGGCTGTATGACAGTGTTCCTACGGAATACAGACGCAGTTCATCAGGTGGATGCTGCCTGCTCCCAGAGCCTCACCCCAGCATCCCTGGCAATGTGGGGCCTGCCCCAGTGGCACACGCTGTGACCCACTGCCTTCTCGCCGGCCCCTGACTCTTGGTTACAAACTCTGGGTTGGAGAAGAAGCCGCTGGTGTCCAAGAGGGCTGTGGAAGCCCTGGCAAGGCCCAACCATTACATGCAAGGGAAAAACCCACCCAGAGGTGGGAAAAAGCCGTGTCTTCTCCCCGCCCCACTGCACTGCCCCCAACAATTCATCATAAGCCAAGGCAAACAAGGTGAGCGGAGCAGCCCAAGCCCTTCCTCGCCTGCACACCAAGCCAGCTGGTGCACAGTTCTGACCCCCTTCTCTGCTACCCTTGCAGGGGTTTTGGTCAGGCTGGCTCCCCCCTGCCCCAGACCCAGCCCGGGACAGGGTGGGTGGCACAGGCTGTCGGCAAGGCCGGGACCTGTCTCACAATAATCCCCCAGCTCCATCCAAAAGCAACTTGGTTGAAGAACTAATCCTGTTCCCCCTCAGCCAAAGGGGCAATCTCCGGTGCCACACCCGGGCATGGCCATGCGATGCCCGGCACCAGGAGCATCCCCCGGCTGTGGGCTCACCTGCAAACTGGGTGTAGACCGTGTCCTTAAGGAAGGTGCCACATCCAAAGTCGAGGAGCTTGGCCTCGCCGGTGGCCAGGTGGAGGAGGATGTTCTGGGGCTTGATGTCCCGGTGCAGGACGCCGCAGCTGGTGCAGTGCCGCACGGCCTGCAGCACCTGGCGGAACAGCCCCCACGCCATCTCCTCCGGCAGGAACCCCCACGCCCTCAGTAAGCGAGAGAGGTCCTGAGACGGCTCCGGATGCTCCATCACCAACAGGAACCCGTTGGGGAGCTCGAACCACTCCAGCAGCTGGATGACCCCAGGGAAGCCATTGGACACCTTGTCCAGCAGCACGATCTCCAGGGGGGCCCGGGTGCCGTCAGGCTGCGGGGGGACCACGGGGTCGTCAGTGGGGCTGATGCCGTGCCTGTCTGCCTGCTCCCCCTCGGCCAGCCCTGGATGCTCCCCGTCCCCCACCGAGCCCACGCCCACTCTCCCTCCAGGTGTCCCGGCGGCTTCCACCCTGCCGGGCCTCGGCTCGTCCCCGCCCGTCCCGCCCCGCTTTCTGCCGCTGGCCCCGCTCGCTCACCAGCTCGCCCCAGCGCCGGATGCCATCCCGGGACACGGCTTTGATGGCCACCTGCAAGCCAAGGGGAAGGGCGGGTTGAGCTCGCCGCCCGTCCCGCCCTCCTCCTCCTCCTCCTCCTCCTCCTCCTCCTCCTCCTCCTCCTCCTGCACTCACCGGGGCTCCGTCCGCCAGGCAGGTCCCCGCGTAGACGCGGCCGAAGCCGCCGCTGCCCAGCAGCGAATGCAGCCGGTAGCGCTCGTGCAGCGGCTCCTTGGCCTTCGGTGCGGGCGAGACGTGGCCGTCAGCGTTGGGGCCGGGGCCCGGCACGGCCCCCGAGCGCCCCTCAAGCGGCCCGGGCCGGGCTTCCCCAGCCGCAGCGGGCAGCGGCGGCTCGCTGCCGGCGGCCGGGCTGGCGAGCGGCGGAGCTCTGGCCGGGGAAGCCGCCGGCCCCGGCAGGCGCCGGGCTCGAGCCAGGCGGAGCCAAGGGGCGGCGAGGCCGAGCCCGTCCCACAGCCAGCCCCACAGGAGCGCCCAGCAGCGCCACAGCCGGCGCGCCGGGAGCCGGGCGAGGGCGAGACCGCGCCGGGCCGCCCAGGGCCGGGGACGGGGCGGCCCCGCCCGGCACAGGGGAACGGCCGGGGCCATGGCCCGGGCCGGCAAGGGGAGGGGGACACCGGCAATGGCACAGGGACCGCGGGAGTGGGACACTGGGACAGGGAGACCGGCACAGGGACACCGGGACAGCGGGACACCGGGAGAGGGAGAGGAGGACGAAGAGCTCGAGCAAGGAGAGCACGAACAAGAGTCAGAGCGAGAGCGCGTCGCTACAGCCGCTGCTGCTGCCGCTGCTGCTGCCGAAGCGCAGGGGCCGTTGGTCCGTTTGTCCGTTCCCCTTCGGCCCCCGCGAGCCCCGGGGGCAGCCCCGGCCGCTCCGCTCCCAACCAGCCCCGGCCGCAGTCACGGAGCTCCCCTTCCTCCCGCCCCCACGCCAAGACCACGGGCTTTTGGAGCTGCTTCACTTTAGTTCAACTTCTTGGCTGCCAAGTTTGCAACTTCCCGCCGCTGCTCGGACCCCATCCCGCTCGCTCGGCCCGCGCTGCTGTCGCTTCCTCCCAGGCCAGCCGGGCTCGGCACTTGCCCCTCAAGTTTGGCAAGGGCTTTGCTCAGTGAGGAGCCCCGGCACGTCCGGCCAGCGCCAGGCAGAGCCAGCCCCGGGGGAGGGCAGAGCAGGAGGATCGGCAGGGGAAAGGCAGCCCTTTGGGGTCAGCGCTGCTCCCCGACCACACCAGGGCTCTTCCTGTTTTCCCGCCTGGTTTGAGGGAAAATCGGCGGCTGCACAGAGGATTAAGCAGAAGAGAATTAGAAGACTCTTCTTGCTGCCCTTTGGATGCCAGTCCCTCCTAAGAAAAGAGTGTTGGACAGTGGGCAGGGGGACAGAGGGCAGGGAGTTCACACATGGATCCCCCCTCTCCCCCATCACTTGAGCCCTGGAGCAGTTCCCTGGGGCTCTGGGAGGGGTCAGATCCGCACTGGGAATGTCCACTGCTTCTGTAACCCTTTGTGTGCTTGCTCTGGTGACGATTGCCCACAGGTGCCCAAGCCCCCTGTCCATCCCTGGGGGGCTGATGGGGGGACTCCCCCACCCAGTAACTGGTGCTGCAGCAGCTGTGGGGCAGAGGGGGGTGGGAAAGGGGGGTCCGGGGTGGCCCCCTGAGCTCCCAACCTGCTGGGGGGGCTGAGGGCTGCTGGGGGGCACCCCCTGACCTGTGTCCCTGCACACCCAGGGCTGTTCCAGGTCCTGGGAAAAGCCGAGTGAATGGCCCCGACCGGGAGAGGTTCCTGCCCAGGTACATCTCCAACTGGGAGCAGCTCAGGCACTTCAGCAAAGATTTGGGCACCTGGGGAGGACACCCTGTGTGGGGAGACCCAGGCCAGGCACTGGAACAGCCAAGGGGAGTTCCTGGAGAACAGACAGGATCAGGGGACATGAACTGCTGGCACAACTATGAGATTGTGGCCCTGTTTGCCCAGCCTGGGAACCCCCATTTTTGGGGTAATCTCTCCCACATCCCACCAGAAACTCCAAATCCTCCCAAATATTCCCCTGAATCTCCAATTGCCCCCAAATGCCAGTAAAATGGTGGGGCTTTAGACGTCTTTGTTGAATGTCTTTGTTTTAAATTCGACGAATCAGCTCTTCCCGCTGAATTTCCCAGGTCAGTTTGTGACCCCATGGATGTTTCTTCCACTGTGTTCACTCAGGTGCCTGTGGGGAACAAGGAGGATGTGGAGACCACCAGCCAGGTGTCTTCCCAATGTTTGAAGACATCACTCCTCCAGTGGGTGATGGAGTTGGAGCAGCAGACAAAGCTCTTCCCACAGTCGAGGCACCTTTAGGGCTTCCCTTACTGGTGGGTCCGTTGGTGTGAGGCCAAGGCAGAGCTCTGGCTGAAGCTCTTCCCACACTCGTCACACTTGTAGGGCCTCTCCCCGCTGTGGATGTGCCAGTGGTTGACGAGGTGGGAGTTCTGGATGAAGCCCTTCCCGCAGTGGGTGCAGAGGAAGGGCCTCTCCTCCGTGTGTGTCCACTGGTGCAGGAGGAGATTCCCGCTGGTCTGAAACCTCTTCTTGCATTCCAAGCACTTGTAGGGCCGTTCTCCAGTGTGGATGCCCTGGTGGCAGATCAGGTGGGAGCTGCAGATGAAGCTCTTCCAACAGTCCAAGCACTTGAAGGGCTTTTTCCTAGTGTGAGGCTGCTCATGGACATCCAGGTCAGGGCTCTGGCTCAAGCTCTCGTCCCCTTCCCGGCGCAGGGTGGGTCTTTCCTCCTCAGAGCACCCTGGGCTGCCTTTGGAGCCCCTCCTCCTGGGGTACCTTCGTGGCTTTCCCTCCCCGCTGCCTTCCTGCGCCGTGGAGCCCTTCAAAACGGCCTCTCCCACCAGGCTCTGCCGGGGGGATTTGTCCTCCGGGCTCTCCGTCCTCAGCTTGGGGCCTGGGGCAGGAGGGAAGAAGGACAGGGAGGGGATTTGCCTCCGGCCCAGAGGGAAGGCCAAGGACATCCCCCCAACTCCGGCCCCGGCAGGACGGCGGCGGCAGCGGGGTTGTCCTGCAGCCGGGGGCGATGCTCGGCTGGGAGATACAGGACAAGACAGGGCAAAGGGGCACTGACTTCCTCCTCACCTGCCTGGGGGTCCTGGGGCATCTTCCTCTTCCTCGCAGCCTCCTCCTCCATCTGGCCAAGCTTTGGGAAGGAATTATTCTCTGTAAACTCATTCCCTTCTGCCCAGAGTAACTAAAACTAATACTCATATATCAGACTTACAGGCTCATGCCATAGAGCTTAGAGACAGACTTCCCAAAGGGATGAATTTTTCCTGGTTTAGGAGGGAAAACAAGGTGTGGGGGCATTGGGTTGGCGGTCCCTCTGTTACGACCCGGCCCAGGAAAAGAGGGGGGGGGTAACCCAGGTTTTATCAGTAATTCCTTTGGGGTGGATTAAAGCAAAACGACACTAAATAATCGGTGTCTGAAAACATATATTGACAAGATTTATTTTAACAATTTTGTATCAATAGGGATGTTAACATTTTGGGTGCTGTCATAACCTTTCGGGGGAGGAGGAAAAAAAATGCCTAGGGGAGAGAAAGACAGGGTAAGAGTAAGGGAGAGCAAGAGAAAAAAAAGGAAAGGTGAGAGCGGTATAATCACCGCCCACTGGATCCAGCGACGTCTTGATCCGCAGGCGGTGGGGGGAGAAGAAGAAAAACCCCGCCAAAACCCCCAAAGTCACCAGTCAGTATCTATATCCTTTGCAGCTCCCCCAAGGCGGGGAGTTGTTTTCATAGGGTGGTGTCTCCCTTTTTGGCACGGAGTTCGTGGTCTCTTCCCACCTTTTCGGGGCTTGACATCTTCTGCACTGGAGGAGGGGGGATGGGCCCAGTTGCCCATCAGAAAGTCAAAAGCCTGCAGAAGTCTCTTAGAATGCATGAATCCTTAACTGTTCCAGTCTCTGACACCCTCCTGCCCAACTCCATCTCTAGAAGTCACCTGGAATCACCAGGAAACACCAAGATTCAGCCAAAAACAATCCTCTCAGCGCTGCTCCCGGGACGTGGGGGCTGCGGATACAGCGGGCCGTGCATCAACGTGCGTTCTTTCTTCTCCTCCTCCTTCCCCTCCTCCCCCTCTCCCTCCTCCTCTCCCTCCTTCTCTTTCTCCTCCCCTCCTATTCCCACTCCTCCTATTCCCCTTGGAGCTGGGGCAGGTCGGGATGGGGCAGCGCTGGGCTCTTGGCCGCTCCCGCCCGCACTCGGCCCCCGCCGCAGCCGCCACGGCCGGGACGGCGCGGGGGGGCCCGGCCTGGGCACCCCCCACCTCCCCTTTGCCCAAATTCCCGTCCCGGGGGGCGCTGGGGCCGAGGGGGGACCCTGGGGGGGTCCGGGGGGAGCGCTGGGCGCTGCGGGTCTGTCTGGCAACTGATGAGTCATCAGCGCTGCGCGCTCGGATTGGCTGAGCACTGCTTTGGGGGTGGGGCTGCAGGAAAGGGGGTTCTTTGCAGGGGAAGACATTTGGAGCTGGAAGGACTCCAAAGCTGAGCCGCAAATGCCCCTTGTGGGGATCGTGGGGGCTCCGCGGGAGGTGATTTGGTTTTGGGGGTGTCCCGGTGGCGGTTCCCGGCAGAGCCCCGGCGGTGGGCGGGGGGATGCGGGGTCCCCCCCCGCGGTGGGGGTTGGTCTTGTTGGAAATGATCCAACTTGCCTCAAATTTTCGTCAGTGGCAGAAGTTGACCGGGTTTCTTTTCACGGACTCTTGTCGGTTTGATCTTTAAAGCACCCAAACTTGGAGTTTCTCTGCACTGGCTCTGATGAGCTTCCATAAACAAAGCCCGAGGGAGCTGAAGATTGGATGTCTGGGATCTTAAATTCCTGGTCCTTCAAGGACATGTTGGAGGAACCAGAAGGGCCAGAGGAGATTAACAAAGACATTGCAGCCTGAGAGTTGGAGACTCTGTGTCTGAGGAGGAGTGCTAAGAGGACCAAAGAACGTGGACCAAATTAGCCAGTTAAGGATAGAATACTAATTAGAGTATCATTTAATGAAGATAATTCATTAGTTCATTAATTCGGGTAAATTAGAAGCAATGAACATGAATTTGTTTGTTTGTTCAAATGTAGAAATGTGTGAAAAGTCTGGAAAGGGACAGGTGTGGCTGGAATGATTGGCTCCCTGTCTCTGGGAGCCAGAACAAAGCAGTGCCTGGCTCACCAACACTTCCCAGGGGCGTTGGAGGGTTTCATTTCTTCCCAACGCTTTTCAGGGACCTTGGTGAGCCAGGTAGGACAATGCTGTCGACCCTCCAGGGATTCCGGGACCCTGAGGACTCCAGCGAGCAGTGAAAATATTCTTCTGGGAGATCTCAGTCCCTGGATCTGGTGAGTTCAAAGCAAGATCCCTGGAATTTTATTAAGGCATTGCTGAGCATAGAAAAGGTATACCTAAGCATCCTAGAAATGGAGCTGTATAACAGAATAGAATAGAATTGGGTTGTGAAAGTGATGATAGAACTGTAAAAGAAGGAGTGTGATATTTGGCTTATGAGAAGAAATCACTACTGACTGAGTGAAAGGGGTGGGTTCCAGGCCCCAGGTGTGGGTCAGGGGGTGGGTTCCAGGCCCCAGGTGTGGTTCAGGGGGTGGGTTCCTGTCCCCAGGTGTGGTTCAGGGGGTGGGTTCCTGTCCCCAGGTGTGGTTCAGGGGGTGGGTTCCAGGCCCCAGGTGTGGGTCAGGGGGTGGGTTCCAGGCCCCCCGTGTGCTTTGCCCACAGATCAGTCACACACAGAGCTCTTGCCCATAGAGCTGCTTTGGGGAGGGCTTTACTCAGGTAACTGTGTTTGTCAAAGCCAATGGTCAGTGCTGGAGAAAGTGAAGTGTTTGGGGAGTGTGTGTTACTGGGAGTGTGTGTTATAGTATTAGAATCCTGTCTGACTCGGGGACGCCCATAATAGATATGAAAAAGAAAAAATTCACTTGTTGTAGAGTGTTAAATGCAGTAGTTTGTTCTTGTGTGCATTTTAAAGCATTTGGTGCACATGAAATATTTGAAGGAAGGTAAATTGCCACAGCAGCTGTTAAGCTGGGACTGTGTGTTCAGAGCATTCTTTAGTGTCAGCTTTAGTGTTTGCAAGGGTTGGATTTGTGTTAATTGTGCCGATCTTCAATTAGTGATTAGTGAATTAGAGATTCAGTTTGTGGATTATAATACGGTTTTTCAGTTGCTGTTGTTTTGTCAGAGAAAAGAGAAGTGAACTGAAATCTCTAGATTTGTTCTTTGAACTGAGCAATAGTCAGGGTTTGGGAAGGTGTGGTTTGATGCCAGGGAGCAGCAGCAGCTGGGGAGGTTCCTCCAGCTGCAGGGGAAGGAGGCAGAAATGGTCCCAGTGAGAGAGGAGCAGAAGAAAGGATTTGGGTTTGGAAAGCTTTGGAGGGTTTAGTGTGAGAGCAGGGATTTGGAATGTGCGTGGGGAAGGGACAAACAGGAGCTGCCACAGCCTGGACTCCCCCCAGGGCTCCCGGCCAGGCAGGAAGGCTCCTGCCCTTGGAAGGTGTGTGGGAGGGCCCGGAGGTGTCATCCCCAGCTGAACCTCTGCTCCATGGACACTGGGAGGGAGAAAATGGATGTCTTGGGAGATCCTGGAGTGGTGTGTTGGGTTTGAAATAAGAGGAAAGGACAATTTAGTCAGAAACGATTCCTGTTGGTGGTGGCACAGGGCAAAAGGAAAATGGGCCTTTCTTTCAACCATTAAAATTTGGAATTGGTAAATGGGTGTTGGCCCTTCAATTTCTTTATGTGCCTGACTGTGCTGTACCATTCCTAGGCAAGAGATGGATTTAGTGAGTTAAATGACATTTGAAAAAGGAAAAATCCAAGTTAGTGGGTGCAGCTGCTCTGTCATTCCTGGGTTTTGGTGTCATTGTGTCACTCAGGGATCCTGAGGAGGGTGAAGCCCTTCTGTGCAGGACATGGAGATGGTCCCTGGCCTGTCCAAATGCATTAAATGCTGCTGCTGAAGGAGCCCCCCCAGTGATTTTATCTGCATTGACCCCCTGGAGCCCACGGGCACCTGCTCCTGCCTGGACAGAAACCAGGAGCTTCCTTGGACTGGTGTCCCCCAGGAAGGACGTTTTCCCCCCTGTTTCTGAGGCTTTTAATAGTCTTTGATCAATAAATATTTCTCCATGTGATTTCTCCTTGTGGCGTCTTCTTGAAGCCTGAAGCAAGCAGAGGAGGGGATGCCAAAGATCCGCCCTCCCCTCTCTATTGTCACTCTGCACCCCCCAGGCCCTTCCTCTGCAGTGTCCTGTCTCCCTGGACATCCCCCCTGGAACTTGTGCCCTTCCCTGCTGGCACGGGTGGGCACACCCCCCATCCCAGTCATGTTCCCAAGCACTGCCAGGGCCACCTGGGTGACCAGCAGGACATGAGTGGGGGTGGCTTGTGAGAGAGTCCCCAAAGGCTCCCTGTCCCCAGAGAGCAGAGCCACGGGGACCAGGGCAGGTCCCCCAGCAGGTCCCACTGCAAATGGCCCGGTTTGTGCTCCAGGGAGGAACAGGCAAGGACCCAGCTTGGGAGAAGATGCTCCAGGAAAGGACCGAGTCTGTCCAAGACACAGGATTTGGGGCATGTGGGAAATAAATAAGAGGGTTTTGTTATAAGTTATTACAGAGTAAATTTACTGATCAAAATTGAAAGAGTTAGTAAAGTTATTATGTTGTATTAAGTGCTTTGTTGGAATCACAAGTTCAAGTGTTATGTAATACCTACCCACAAGATCTGTAAGCTGTGAACTAGCAAACCACAACACAACCATGATTTAGCACATTATTTCTTGTTGTTCTAAGAGTGTTTGTTCTAAGTAAAGGAAGCAAGATGGAGACATGCAGGGGGAGGTCGACCACGAGGACTAACTGTCACCCCAGTGGAAATTTCCAGCACCACGGCCATAGAGACTGTTACCCACTGAACTATGGGCTGATGCCCCTCAGCAACAGAGCCAGCCCGTGAAAGGAGGAACCAACCTGGAATCGGCCCAGAAAGAGAAACCAAACGGAACTTAACCCGTGAAACCCCAGCCACCTCCCCCCAGTGTCACACCCAGACACACTCGGAAACACTCAGACACACTCAGACACACGTGAACACACTCAGACACATTTAGACACACTTGCACACACTCAGACACACTTAGGCACACCCAGGCACATTCCCTCACACTCAGATACTCTCAGACACACTCAGACACACTTGCACACAGCCAGACACACTCAGAAATATTTTCACACATTCAGACACACTCTCAAACACTCAGAAACACTCACACACTCTCAGACACACTCAGGCACACTCTTACAAAGCCTGACACACTTAGACACACTCAGACACACTCGCACACACTCACACAAACTCACACACACACAGACACATTCAGACACACTCAGAAACACTCAGACGTACACACACACTCACACACACTCCCACACAGTCAGGCACACTCACACGCAGACACACTCAGACACACTTGAACACACTCAGACACATTTAGACACACTTGCACACAGTCAGACACACTTAGGCACACCCAGACACATTCCCCCACACTCAGATATGCTCAGACACACTCAGACACACTTGCACACAACCAGACACACTTAAACACACTCAGACACACTCAAGCAAATTCCCACACACCCAGACACACTCAGACACACTCAGACACACTCACACACACCTGCAAACACTGACAAACAATCAGACCCATAAATATATACTCAGGCACACTCACGCACACTGAGACACACTCGCACACACCCAGACACACTCAGATACACTCCAACACGCTCTGACACATTCAGGCACACCCAGACACACTCAGACACACTAACACACACTCAGACACACTCAGACAGACTTCAACACACTCAGACACACTTAGACACACTTGCACGAGCTCAGACACACTCAAGCACACCCAGACACATTCCCTCGCACTCAGATACGCTGAGACACACTCAGACACACTCGCACACAGCCAGACACCCTTACACACACCCAGACACACTCAAGCACTTTCCCAGACACCCAGACACACTCAGACACACTCAGACACCCTCAGACACACTCATATATGCTCAGGCACACCCAGACACACTCAGGAACATTTGCACACAGTCAGACACACTCTCACACAATCAGAAACACTCACACACTCTCAGACACACTGAGGCACACTCTCACAAAACCTGACACACTCAGGCACACCCAGACACATTCACACACACACATTCACACACAGTCACACACTCAGACACACTCGCACACACTCACACACACTGAGACACATTCGCACATACAAGGATAGTCTCAGACACAGACACACTCTTACAAAGCCAGACACACTTAGACACACTCAGACACACTCAGGCACACCCAGAGACACTCAGACACAGTCCCACACACTCAGACACACTCAGGCACACCCAGACACACTGAGACGCACTCAGATATGCTCAGACACACTTGAGCACACTCAAACAGGCTCACACATTCGGACTCACTCAGAGTGAGTCCCACTCATTCAGACACACTGAGAAATATTTGCATACATTCAGACACACTCTCACACACTCAGAAACACTCACACACTCTCAGACACACTCAGGCACATTCTCACAAGGCCTGGCACACTTAGACACTCACACACACTCAGGTGCTTCCAGACAGACACACTCGCACACACACACACAAACTCACACACACTCACACAGACTCAGACACCCTCAGACACACTCAGACACGCTCAGACACACCCAGACACACTCAGATACACTTAGACACTATGAGACACACTCGGTCATACTCACAGTCGAATACACTCAGACATAATCCAGCACACTCCCACACATTCAGACACACTCAGAAATATTCCCACAGATTCAGACACACTCTCTCACACTCAGAAACACTCAGACAGATTCGCACACTCTCAGACTCACTTGAAGAAACTCAGACACACTCAGGCATATTCAGACACTTAAATACGTTCTCAGACTGTCTCAAGCACACAGAGAAACACTCAAACACACAGACACATTCAGATACACCGACTCTCTCATTCACACTCATGCAAACTGAGACACACAGACCCACTCTCGTAAAGCCAGACACAGACACATTCGCACAAACAGAAAGACTTGAACACACTCAAACACACTCAGACCCTGTCCCACACAGTCAGACACGCGGAGAAGCGCTGAAAGACTTGCACACATTCAGATAAACTCAGACACACTCTCACAGAGTCACTCAGAGTCAGACACTCTCGCACTCCCTGAGACAAATAAACACGGAGGCACTCTCACACGTAGAATCACTGAGAGACACTCATTTTCACTCAGATATTTTCTTCCGAACTTAGACACAGACATAATCGTACACATGCAAAGAAACACACTCTGACACGCACAAAGTCTAACATATTTTATCACACTGAGACATATTCACTCAGGCACGCACAACTTTAGACACACTTGAAAACACTCTGACATAGACACACACTATCAGAGATGCTCTAAGAATCTTAGATACAATCAAAGAGACCTACTTGCACAACATACTTGCACAACCTCAAGCACTTTGCAATCACTCAGAGAGACAAACGCACTCATAAACACTCGAAAGCAGTCGAAGGCAGACAGACTAAAACAGTGAGGTACATTTTCAGGAAGTCTCGCACTCTCGCACTCATTGAGACACAGTAAGCAAGACTAGGAGGGGCTCACAATTACTCAGAAAAAGGTACATGTTCTGACACCATCTTAACTCCTGAAGAGAGACAGAGTAGCATATACTCATTCTCCTTTTCACACACAATGAGAGATACTCGCTTACGCTCTCTCACACTTTTCTTCATTAAAAAGTCAGAAATACATTCTCTTCTCGAAGTTCGAACAATCTCAGGAAAAAAGTCAGAAAAATTGGGAATCACTCCTAGACCTATTAACTGTGTGCGCGTTTGTCTGATTGTGAGTGTGTTCCAGTGCCCGTGAGTTCGTGCGAACGTGTTCGTGTTTGTTGCAATATGTGCAAATGTGTCTGAGTTGTTGAGAATATGCTTTAGGTTCCGTAATTTCTGCCAAATGTGTGAGAGTGTGTCTGAGCATCTGAGAGTGTGGTCGATTGTTCCTGAACCTGTCTGATTTTGTGTGAATGTGTGCGCGAGGGTGTCTCGGTGTGTTTCAATTACCGAGTTCTTCTGAATTTTCTAGGTTTCGGGTTTTAATGTGTATGAGTGTGTCTGGTTTTAGCAAGGCTGTCAGATAATGTGTTTGTGGGCATGTCTGTCTGCGTGTTTGTGGGCATGTCTGTCTGTAAGATTTTCTGGGTTTTTCGTGGGTGTTATTTTGTGTCTGTGTGTGTCATAGTGTGTGCATGGGTGCGCCAACTTTTTTAGTTTTTGCGAGTGTTTCTGAGGTTTTTCGATTTTTTCTCTTTTTTTACCACTAATTGCTACTTTGTATTAGTGTGTACGAGTGTACCCAGCTGTTTACGATTTTTTCCTCAGTGTGTCTATGTGTGTTTGGGAGTGCATTTGTTGAAATTTTTCTTTTCGTGTGCAGTTGTGTGTGAAGGCATCTCGGTGTTTCTGACTCTGTCTTTTTGTGTTTGTGTGTATTATCATGTGTTGACGTGTGTCTGATTATTTGTCAGTGTGTGGCTGAGTCCTAGTGTGTCCAGGAGTGTACCAGTTTGGATATTTGCAAGGACCTCCGGGCGATTGTGAATGTGTTTTGGTGTGTTATGCTTGTGCAGCTGTGTTTTTTTGTTCTCCCATGTGCACGGGTCTGTTTGCCCTTACAAAGTTGTGAATGGGTGTGCTCATGTGTTCTTGTGCGAGTAGAGGTAAGCCTGAGTGTGATCGAGTTTGCACGACTGCGATTGGCTGCGTTTGGCTGAAACTGGGTGTGTTCCGTTCTGTATGTGTTTACTTCAGTGTTCTCGGCTGTACAGGGTGTTTTTCGGTGCGCTCACCTGTGCACCCCCGTGCACACAGAAGAACAATCGACCGGTGAATTATTGACCTTACAGCCAGGAAAGAAGCCCTGAACCCTCCATCTCTTTTCTACTGCTGCGCCATTCTCTGCACTACACCTACAGCATGCTCTTTCTGCTGGGATATTTTTGCTCT